CCACCACTCCCCATCTTCCTTTAGTAATTATTTTATCTATTATCAATCATAACTAACATACTCTATGCTGTTTTTTACTTATTTATTTTGTGTGTGTATATACATATATATATTATGTGTGTGTATGTGCATATATGTGCGTGTGTGTATGTATGTGTGTGTGTGTATGTGTGTGTGTGTGTGTGTGTGTGTATATATATATATATATATATAATTTTTCTAGTAGAATGTAGAATTCATGAAAACAGGGATTCTTGGGTGTTTTGTTTGCTAGCTATATACCAGAATAAAGGACTGTTAAAACAAAAAGTAGGTGCTCAGTATTTGGTGAATAAAATAATTTCACTATATAAAAATTATTGAGTATAAAAATCAACTTGTCTCAAAAAATTCATCTCTCAAAACTTCAAACCAAATTCTGCTATAGACCTCCTTATTGTTATTAAGTTAACCACATTTTCCCAGGTTGTCTCAAAGTCTTGGAGACGTTATTTTATTTATTTATTTATTTTTTACTTATTCACTTCCAAACAAGTTTCTATGGAGTTGACAGCATACTGCAAAAGGAATTGTTTTTTCACTTCCTGTTCTGCTATTTTTATTGTTAGTGTATAGAAACGCTATGGATTTTTGTATATTGATTTTGTATCCTAAAATTATATTGTATTTATCGTTTCTAACAGTTTTTGGGTGGAGTCTTTAGGGTTTTCTACACAGAGAATCATGTCATCTGCAAAAAGTGACAATGTGATTTCTACATTCCCAATCTGGATGCCTTTTATTTCCTTTTCTTCATTGATTGCTCTAGCTAGGACTTCCAACACTATATTGAATAAGAGTGGTTGTAGTGGACAACATTGTCTTGTTACTGATCTTAGCGGGAAGGCTTTTAGTTTTTCACCATTAAGTATAATATTTGCTGAGGTTTTGTCATATGTGGCCTTTATTATTTTGAGGTTCTTTCCTTCTACATGTATTATATTCAATGTTTTAATCATAAATGGATACTGTATCTTGTCAAATGCTTTTGCTGCATCTATTGATATGATAGTATGATTTTTATCCCTTATTTTATTTATGTGGTATATCACATTAATCGATCTGCATATGTTGAAATATCCTTGCACCCCTGGAGTAAACCCCACTTGATCATGATGTATATATTTTTTAAGTGTATTATTGTATTTAATTTGCTAAGATTTCGCTTAGGAGTTTTGCATCTGTATTCATCAGAGATATTGGTTCATAGCTTGTGAATGTGTGTGTGTGTGTGTGTGTGTGTGTGTGTGTGTGTGTGTGTCCTTTCCAGATTTTGGTGTCAGGGTAATGTTGGCCTCATAAAATGAGTTAGGAAGTATTGCCTCTTCTTCAACTTTTTGGAAGTTTGAGAAGGACAGCTACTAAATCATCTTTGAATGTTTGGTGGAATTCGCTAGTGAAGCCATCTGGTCTTGGACTTTTAATTTTGGGGAGGTTTTTGATGGTTGTTGTCTTACTGTTGAATTTAGATGTTCCATACCTTCATGATTCAGTCTGGGAAGTTGTGTATTTCTAAGAACATGCTCATTTCTTCTAGGTTACTGAATTTGGTGGCATATAATTTTTCATAATATTCTTGTATCATCCTTTGTATTTCTGTGGTATCTGTCATAACTTTTATTTCTGATTTTGTTTACATGTGTCTTTTCTCTATTTTCCTTAATGAGTATGACCAGGGTTTTGTCAATTTTATTAATCTTTTCAAAGAACCAGCTATTTGTTGCACAAATTTTTTCCATTGTCTTTTTGTTCTCTATTTTATTTAATTCTACTCTAATTTCTATTATTTCCTTCCATCTTCTGACTCAGGGCTTCATTTGTTTTTCTTTTTCTAGTTCTTTAAGATGTAATCTTAGGTTTTATATTTGGGAATTTTCTTTGTTTATTTCTTGAGATATGCCTGTAATGATATTAACTTTCCTTTTATTAATGCTTTTGCTGTGTCTCACAAATTTTGATATGTTGGGGGAGAGAAAAAAGGGCATAGATGATAGAGGCTCTGTTCATCCCTCTTGTGACCAAATTAAAGTTGTGACAGAAATAAGGAGCAAACAGCAAGAAAAATCTCCTTGGATCTAGGTGAACAAGCCCTACAACTAAGGAGAAAATTAAGAAATTACCCTACAACAGGAGGAGGTAGGACAGGGCAAGGATGAGAGGCTGTCCAGTCTCAAGCGGCTGAGTGAGACAGAGGCCATAATAGTAGAAGTCATCAGCTGCAGAAACCTCTAAAGGGGCCATGACCATGAGCAGACTTTTGCAGTGACAAACCTATTCGCTCTGAGCACCAGCGCCTGGT